AATAATATATCCATAATTGATTTCATCTTTCAAGTTTGACACTAACAGTTTCTCTCAGTTCATGAATTTACATAAATGTATATTATAGAACTAATTTATTCCCCATTCGTTGTCAATCGTTACTGAATTCATTCTAAATGACATCTAATACACTGAAAAAAAAGGTACCGTACGGAACCTAAAAGGGTTTCGAGATTTGCAACGAATTCGAAACCCTTTTAGGTTTCGTATAAATCGGGTTCTGTACGAAACCCTTATTGAAAACGCCAGAATAGGGTTTCGTACACTACTCTTTCTACTCAATGTAATAAATTATTCACAAAATTTGCCCATCCAGTTTTGAACCACATCACTAACCATAGTTTTAGAATGATTCATTGAAAATAACGCACAACACAGCCACACGTCTTCATGAACTACTGTTAACCGTACATGATAGGAATCATGCCACAACTACATAGATATCCACACCATCTTAGCAACGCTACGGTCAGTAAGGATGCCAATAATTCTACCAACACAAATAAAATCTCATATCATTTCCGTTCCATATCCGAGAGCCACCTCCTAAGTTCTTAAGCATTAGAAGACTAACTATCATCCTTATATCTATTTGAAACTAGCGTAGACAAGTACATGATTCTACTCATCTGAATATGAATTGAGAGTGATACTTTAACAGATACTTACTTTATCGTCAACGCCTTCTGCAGATCCGAATAATACTTTTAACGTAAATTTGAAATGAAACCGTCCCACACCATCGATCTCTTGAACTGATCTAAATACAAAATAAAATCATATTTGAAATATAACATACTTTGTTGTTGCTTGTTTCGATTGATCTAATTGCAAAATTCAATTACAATTTAACATAAAAACTTAAATAAGTATTCCTTTGATTAGTTGATCTAAATGTAAAATAAGAATCTTATTTGAAATATAACTTACCTAATCATTGCTCGCTTCACTTGATCTAAATAGAAAATTAAATAACACTTTGAAATAAAAACTTATCAAATTATTGGATTGGCCAGTTGATCTAAATGTAAAATAAAACTATATTTAAAATGTATATTACCTAACCATTCGTCGTTTCGAGTGATCTAAATACAAAACTAAATAATAATTTGAAATCAAAATTTGCCTATAAGTATTCAACTGGTTAGCTCATTTAAGTATAAAATTAAGTTCTATTTTAAATAGAACTTACCTTGACGTTGCTTGTTTCGATATATCTAAATATATGACCAGATTACAATTAGAAATCAAAACTTACCTGTGTTGCTTCGGTTAGTTGATCTAAATATAACATCAGAATTTTATTAGAAATATAGCTTACTTTGTCGTTACTTCTTTTCATTGATCTAAATACAAAAATAAATGATAATTATAAATGGAAGCTTGTCTTAGTATTTAACTGGTCAGTTGATCTAAATATAAAACAAGAATCTTATTAGAAATATAATTTACCCAACCATTCGTCGTTTTGATTGATCTAAATACAAAAATGAATGAGAATTTGAAATAAACTTTGCTATCCTATTGCTCTGATTAGTGTATCTAAATATAGAGTAAGAATCATATTTAATATATGACTTACCTAAGCGTTGCTTGTTTCGATTACTCTAAGTACAAAACTGATTTACAATTTGAAATGAAAATTCGTGTAAATATTCAACTGGCCAGTTAATCTAAATATAAAAAAATCATGTTTATAATGTGACTTGCCTTACTCTTTATCGCATCGATTGATCTAAATAGAAAATGAAATTGAACTTTGAAATGAAAGTTCAATCAAGTGTTGAAATAGTAAATCAAGCCAAATATAAAATAAAAGAAAATTTGTAATATAAGTTACAAACAGTTGTATATTTCCATTGATTTAAATACAAAATCAAATCACAATTCGAAATAAATATTTACTTAGTTATTGTTATGGTTATTTGATCGAAATATAGAATAAAATCACCATGGAAATATAACTTCCTCAACGTTCATTATTTCCATTGATCTAAATATAAAATAAAATTAGAATTAGACATGAAAATAAACTGAAGTATTCAACTGATCAGTCGATCTAAATATAAAATAAAACCATGTTTCAAATATAACTTAGTAATGGCTGCTCATTTCGATTGATCTAAATCAAAAGTTAAATTACAATTTCAAAGAAAAATTCACTTAAATGTTGCACTAGTGAGTTAATCTAAATATAATATAAAATTTTATTTCAAATATAACTTACTGATCCTTCCTTGTTTCGATTGATTTAAATAGAATATCATATTAAAAATATAATCGAAAATCTCAGAAGCATTTAGCTGGTTTGTTGATCTAAATATAAAAGAAAATCATATTTTAAATATAAGTTACCTAACTGTTTCTCTTGTCGATTGGTAAAAAAATAGAATTAAATTACAATTTGAAATAAAAATTCACATAAATGTTAAACTAATGAGTCAATCTAAACATAAACAATAATCTTATTTCAAATTTAACTTACTAACCGCTACTTGTTTCGAATGATCTAAATAGAAAATAAAATCAGAGTTAGAAATGAAACTACTAACAGTTATTGAACTGGTTAGTTGATCTAAATATAAAATACAATTTTGTTTCAAATATAGCTTGCCTAACTATTTCTCGCTTGGATTGATCTAAATAGAAAAATAAATCGAATTTTGAAATCAAAGTTTGCCTGGTTATTCATTTGGTTAGTTGATATAATTATAAAATAGGAATGTATTTAAAATATAACTTACTCAGCACTGCCATTTTCGATCGATCTAAACAGAAAAATAAAGTAAGATAAGAAATCACAATCTCTGAGGTATTTTAGTAGTTCGTTTATTTAAATATAAAATAAAATTATATTTGAAGTATAAGTTGCTAATCGTTGCTCGTTTGAATCGATCTAAATCTAAATCTAAGTTTAACTTAGAAATGAAAATTCAGCTAAATATTGAACTGCTCAGTCGATCTAGATAGAAAATAAAAATTGAATTTTTCTAAAGAGACTTGTGTTTTGAACGGTAGAAAATGGCATGATAGTTGTATTGAATGGTATTTGCTTATGTGAAGCATATACATGACTGACAATTTCATGTAAACAAGTATAGACATCCTTTAGTATCCAACCGATCAATTATTTCATAAAATATAATCGGAAATAGTCTAAATAAACACATTTGTTGAGATGCTGTACCAATTATTTTTCCTTTATGTAAACGTTTTTTTCTTAAAAATGGTGGTTTATTTTTCTTATCATAAGAATCATGTTCAAATGATATCAACCTACCTTTAATTTCTGCGTAAGAAAGAAGTCGTTTTGTTGATGATTCTTTAAACATTGCTAACAATACTTGACCACAAAGACCTAAATAGAGAGAAAATCATCATTTTCTAGAAAAAAACTCTCTTCGTATACCTTCATGTAGATCATGCATAACATCATTCGGTAATAATATAACAGCATGAAAACCAATTAATTCTGATAATGGACTTTTATCAATAACGTCATCTATAACATCATTATTATTCAAACGTAACACTTGTTGAACTAAATTATCATGTTGATCTTTTGTTCTTTGAGCATGAGAAATTTCACTTAAATGAATAAATCGTTGATCATAATTTATATGACGATGTCTACAAAATTGGCCATTACTAAAAGATTTTTGAAAACCACCTATATCATTAGATGCTAAGTGATCACCAGCAACAATAGAAAATGCAAAATCTAATCGACCACCTAAAGCTGAAATATAAAGTTCATTTGTTTGAAGAGCATTGAGGTCCTCGACGATCGAATCAAAAAACTTTTCTCGAATTGATTTTGCAGATAAATGAGCAGGATGACACATTGCTAGAAGGACAATTGATTTTAACATTGACTTGACATTATTAGATAAATCTTCTAATTGAAAATAAATCATTATAATTTTTAAGTATCCTTTTTTTGCACCTATGGGATTTGTTACTCCAATTTCATCAATGTATAATTGAAACAACAACAAATCAGGTTTATTTTTTAAAATTGAATGTTATTTTGCTTGTGATTCACGACGATAATCGTACATAAGATCAAGATCAAGAGCACTACAACTAATTGTTTCATTATAATTTTTGATTAACATATTTAATACATTATGCTTATTCAACATTGGTCTAATACTAGATTGTATTGGTATATAATATGCTACTTGATTCGGATTGCTTAACTTTATTTCTTTTGCTGGTTCGTAAAAGAAATATTTCTTGCACAATCTCTAAAAGTTGCATTCATTTTTTGTAACATCTGTCATTCTCTCTATGAAATCATCCAAAAATGACATTTCTCTGCAAGGAAAAGTTAGAATCGACAAAACGCGAGAAAAACAATAAACATGGCGCAAAATGAACGACTATTTGTAAACCAAAGCACATAGCACAAAATATTTCTGAGTGAGAGGAAATCAGACTTCATTGATGTATAGATAATATAATATTCGAAATTAATTTGTTAACATCAACCGGTGAAATAAAATTGTCTGTTGATAAAGAAGAAGTTGTTGTTTGGCATCGAGTGAAGGAACTTTGAATTTGAATTTTTAATAATTCATGGATTAGCTCAATCAACGATTTAAATCCGAATGTGATTGCTTGGATTATATTTTGTGGTAAAGAATAACCTTCTCTCAGATTTAATAGTAATTCGAAATAAAACTTTTCAAATGAATCTAAATAGACATTTTTCTTTAACAATCGAGTTTTCGCTTCTTTAAGTAATAACCAACAAAAACTAGTTTCATCATCGCTTTCTCCTACATTCTCGCTTCCGTTGTCTTCTAAATCGTTCTCTTGAATGCTAAAGTCTAATTGTGAATCATCATACGTTGATGGAGACACTTTGTTCGTGTGTGTACCGGTATCAAATTGTACTTCTTGTTTACATAAATCTTCATGAAGAAGATTTACATGTTCTCTATAGACATGTGCTTTGTAAGCTTTAAAGTTCGTGTATATCGTTCCACATAATGGACCAAGTTCACATCGAACTTTAAAGTTGGTTTGCCCACTGTGAACGTATTGCAAGTGCTGAAATAATATTCGAAATGTGG